AAATATGTCCACATTTATATCCAATTTATATAAAAGACAAAGCCATGCTTTGTTTCACCCTAACAAAAGGAATGCCTACTGGAGAATTCCTTTAAAATACATTAAAGGCTGTGTTAAATCAAAGTATCACATTGCACGTGGATATATACAGCTATTACATGTGACTCCGAGACAAAAATGACAACTCTAGAAAAGGAAATTTTAAAAAAATCACATTTCCTTTATGTTATATTAAAGTAACAGACTCAATTTATATACAGCACCTGAAGGGCGTGTCTATGGTAACTACAGTCACACCTGCACCTGAAGGGCGTGTCTATGTGTAACTACAGTCACACCTGCACCTGAAGGGCATGTCTATGGTAACTACACTCTCACCTGCACCTGAAGGGCGTGTCTATGGTAACTACAGTCACACCTGCACCTGAAGGGCGTGTCTATGTGTAACTACAGTCACACCTGCACCTGAAGGGCATGTCTATGGTAACTACACTCTCACCTGCACCTGAAGGGCGTGTCTATGGTAACTACAGTCACACCTGCACCTGAAGGGCGTGTCTATGTGTAACTACAGTCACACCTGCACCTGAAGGGCGTGTCTATGGTAACTACAGTCACACCTGCACCTGAAGGGCATGTCTATGTGTAACTACAGTCACACCTGCACCTGAAGGGCATGTCTATGGTAACTACACTCTCACCTGCACCTGAAGGGCGTGTCTATGGTAACTACAGTCACACCTGCACCTGAAGGGCGTGTCTGTGTGTAACTACAGTCACACCTGCACCTGAAGGGCGTGTCTGTGTGTAACTACAGTCACACCAGCATCTGAAGGGCGTGTCTGTGTGTAACTACAGTCACACCTGCACCTGAAGGGCGTGTCTATGGTAACTACAGTCACACCTGCACCTGAAGGGTGTGTCTATGGTAACTACAGTCACACCTGCACCTGAAGGGCGTGTCTGTGTGTAACTACAGTCTCACCTGCACCTGAAGGGCATGTCTATGGTAACTACAGTCTCACCTGCACCTGAAGGGCGTGTCTGTGTGTAACTACAGTCACACCTGCACCTGAAGGGCATGTCTATGGTAACTACAGTCACACCTGCACCTGAAGGGCGTGTCTATGGTAACTACAGTCACACCTGCACCTGAAGGGCGTGTCTATGGTAACTACAGTCTCACCTGCACCTGAAGGGCGTGTCTGTGTGTAACTACAGTCACACCTGCACCTGAAGGGCGTGTCTATGGTAACTACAGTCACACCTGCACCTGAAGGGCGTGTCTATGTGTAACTACAGTCACACCTGCACCTGAAGGGCGTGTCTGTGTGTAACTACAGTCACACCTGCACCTGAAGGGCGTGTCTATGTGTAACTACAGTCACACCTGCACCTGAAGGGCGTGTCTATGGTAACTACAGTCTCACCTGCACCTGAAGGGCGTGTCTATGTGTAACTACAGTCACACCTGCACCTGAAGGGCGTGTCTGTGTGTAACTACAGTCACATCTGCACCTGAAGGGCGTGTCTATGGTAACTACAGTCACACCAGCACCTGAAGGGTGTGTTTATGTCTAACGACAGTCACACCTGCACCTGAAGGGTGTGTTTATGTCTAACGACAGTCACACCTGCACCTGAAGGGTGTGTTTATGTCTAACGACAGTCACACCTGCACCTGAAGGGTGTGTTTATGTCTAACGACAGTCACACCTGCACCTGAAGGGTTGTTTATGTCTAACGACAGTCACACTTGTAAAGATTGGATAGCGAATTCTATTCAAGACACCCAAACTCTTGCTGTAGCGTCAGTTTCATTCTTAGGGAGAGTCTGCTCAGTGTGGGGCGTACCTGAGCCCCAGACTCCTTTCCAAGTCTGTGGTGAGATCCTATGTTCACTGATCACCCTTCAGGTCTTGGATCCAATTTAACAATTAGCCGGTGGCAATTGCAGGGAAACATGGCCCAGCGGCCTGGAAATTTACAAAGCTCCTGGAAAAGCTATTTGCTAAGCTTGTGTCAACTCTGCCTGACTAGGCTGAGACAGCTGCTGCCTCACAGTGCCTGAGGTGCAGATGGCGCTCCTGACCCAAAGCCAGGGCTGGCTGCACCCCGCACAACACAGAGCCCTCCCTCCAGCCAACAAGCCAGCTCCTCTTGCAAGGTGGCAGCACCCCACACCAGCCACTCCAGGGTGCCAGCAATGATACAGGCACGGTGGTAGAGAAGGGTCCAGGAGGAAGGGCTTCTTCTGCTGTTGTCTTTACCACAGCACATCCTGGAGCGTACCTGGGAGAAGCATGCTTCCCCAGCAATATCGAAAACCAACAGAAAATCTCTAATTACCACCCAGAATGTACGCTTCCCTCCAGCGACACAAATCCTTCCGCCATCACACTCAAATGCTGTCACTCATCCAATTTGGCATCTGACCCCTGTCTGGGTCTCCCTGCCTTCCTAGGCTTGAACAGAACTTCATCTTCCAACAACAACAAGCTTCTGTGGTCCCTCCTACGGTTCAGATTAGTGACGTCACTACTTAACCTTGAGCTGTGCAAAGGCTGGTGCATGCGTTCAGTCCACCAGGGCTTAGTGAGCAGCTACTAAGTTCTGTGTGCGAGGGATACAGCTGTGGGAAAGTCTTGCATTGGTGAGTAATATTAACAGACTCCTGCCTCTGAGAGGGTCGGTCCATCTGGTCAGATCAGTGAACAGATACGTAAGGGAAAGAGGGAGAGGCTCACAAAAGAGCAAACACATCAAGTCACAGGGCTTCATAGCACAGCTGGGGTCTGGATGAAAGCCTGAAAAGTGAATGGACCTTCAGCAGGTCCAGAGGCCCTGAGTCAGGGGCATGGAGTGGGCACTGGACACACAGGAGGCCAGAACTCCCAAGGACAATATCCCAGAGCACTGGAGCAAGTGCTGGCCGAAAATAAGACTATACTCTCTTGGGCTTTTCATTTTGCTTTGTGTATGCTTTAATTTTACTAATGTGTTTTCTGTCTTACAGAGTATTGTTTTATCCTCTGTGTAAGACCTCCCCCCCCCTTTTTTTTTTTTGAGACAGGGTCTTCTGTGTCCCAAGCTGGTCTCAAGTTTACTACGTAGCAGAGGATGACCTTGAACTTCTGACCTGCCTGCCTCCACCTCCCAAATTTAAGCCATCACACCAGGTCTATGTGTTGCTGGGGATTAAACGCAGGGTTTCAAACATGCGAGGCGCTCTACCCATTGAGCTACACCCCCATCCCAAGACCCAATTCTTAACATGAAGTTTCAAATGACATTCAAGTATGCCCCACATCCCTTTTTTTTTTTCAAATAACTGTATTTGGTGAAGTGAATGTCATCCCATCTCCCCTGGCTTTGGAGATGGGACAGGGATCCCACTCCTGTGTGTTGAGGAGGGGGAGCTGGGGCAAAGAAGCCAATCTGCAGTCATTTTAGAATTCACAGGGGGGCATTTCTTGGAATTCTGCTTTCTTGAACTTACAGACAAAATTCAGTACCCAGAACCCCATCTGTTTCTCAGAGCTCCTTCCCTTTTGACTTGTAAGACACAACCCTCTTCCTCTCCCCTACTGCCATTCTGTTTCTCTCGGGCCCTGGGAGGTCTCGGGGCTTATCCCCAAGGCCCCTTCTATGCTTACCTTCTTTATCTCCCCCAGTGACCAGCATGTGGCTGTTTCTTCCAATGTGCAGACCCAGCTGAAGCAGCCCTTGCTGCTTCTGAGGAGGGCCTGCCAATTGCTTTTTGGGACTTAGCATCCAAAGTTCATTCCTGTTCATAGCAAATTCCCCTTCTTGTAGGTGTGTGTCACCCACAGAGAATGGAGATGGCTCAGTCATCCACAAAAGGCTCACTCAGACTCAGTCCAGATCTCCCCAGGTGGCGACTGTAACAGCAGACCCCAGAAACCACGGCTGGAGCATCTGGGATACAAGATGTCACACCCTGGGATCAGCAGCCCCAGGAGAAGCAGTGGCTGCCTCCAGGGTGTGCCCCTGGCCCTGGTCCTGAGCATAGTGCTTCTTTCCGATTCTCTCTGCAGGCCTCACTATCTTGTCAGTAAATCGTTTTCTGCTTAAATAAACAGAAACTGGAATCCACTCTAATTAATAGAGGGTTTCTGTCTATTCTGTTGCCTCAAGGAGGGATCCAAAGCTTCGCCTAAACCAGAGAATTCTGAGGTATGGTCCTCAGGGACCTAGCTGGAGAACAAAGCAAGCCATAAGGCAAAAAAAAAAAAAAAAAAAAAAAAAAAAAAAAAAAAAAAAAGACAATTTTTTGGTTTGGTTTGGTTTGGTTTGGTTTGAGACAGAGTTTCTCTGTGTAACAGTACTGCCTGTCCTGGAACTCACTTTGTAGACCAGGCTGGCCTCAAACTCACAGAGATCCTCCTACCTCTGCCCACCACCACTGCAAGTGCTGGGATCGTTCGGCATCAAGACAAATTCTTAACATTAATGAGATATTCTTTATCTGCCTTTTCCCCCAGTGCTGACATTTCCCCTGAGAACACAAAGGAAGTGAACACCGAGTGGAAGAGCTGAAGTCTCAGCACAAACCGAAGCTGTGGCACCACAGTGTGGAGGCAGCATCTCGCCTCCATACCCTCACAGAAAAGTATGACCAGTTTCAGTTAAGACTATGGTGGCTCACAACCATCTGTAATGAGATCTGGTGCCCTCTTCTGGCCGCAGGCATACATGCAGACAGAATACTGAGAATACTGTACACATAATAAATAAATAAATCTTTTTTTTTTTTTTTTTTTTTGGTTTTTCGAGACAGGGTTTCTCTGTGGTTTTGGAGCCTGTCCTGGAACTAGCTCTTGTAGACCAGGCTGGTCTCGAACTCACAGAGATCCACCTGCCTCTGCCTCCCGAGTGCTGGGATTAAAGGCGTGCGCCACCACCGCCCGGCAAATAAATAAATCTTTAAAAAAAAAAAAAAAAAAAAAAGACTAGTATTCAGAGTCACGCTGCCGTCGGGAGAGCCAGCGCCCGAGCGCAGACGCGCCCGCCATGAGGGAGATTGTGCACATCCAGGCGGGACAGTGCGGGAACCAGATCGGTACCAAGTTTTGGGAAGTGATCAGCGATGAGCACGGCATCGACCCAGCTGGAGACTTTGTGGGCGACTCAGCGCTGCAGCTGGAGCGGATCAGCGTCTACTACAATGAGTCATCCTCTCGGAAGTATGTGCCCAGGGCTGCCTTGGTGGACTTGGAGCCAGGCACCATGGACAGTGTGAGATCTGGGCCTTTTGGGCAGCTCTTCCGGCCTGACAACTTCATCTTCGGACAGACAGGCGCCGGAACAACTGGGCCAAGAGTCACTACACTGAGGGCGCGGAGCTGGTGGACTCGGTGCTAGATGTGGTGCGCAAGGAGTGTGAGCACTGTGACTGTCTGCAGGGCTTCCAGCTCACGCATTCGCTGGGCCGTGGCACGGGCTCAGGCATGGGCACCCTCCTCATCAGCAAGATCCGGGAGGAGTACCTGGACCGCATCATGAACACCTTCAGCGTGATGCCATCGCCCAAGGTATCAGACACCGTGGTGGAGCCCTACAATGCCACGCTGTTGGTGCACCTGCTGGTGGAGAACACTGACGAAACCTATTGTATTGACAATGAAGCTCTTTACAACATCTGCTTCCTCACGCTCAAGCTAACCACGCCCACCTACGGGGGACCTTAACCACCTGGTGTCTGCCACCATGAACGGCGTCACCACATCGCTGCGTTTTCCAGGTCAGCTCAATGCTGACCTGCGCAAGCTGGCTGTGAACATGGTGCCCTTCCCACGCCTGCACTTCTTCATGCCCGGCTTTGCACCACTAACAGCCCGGGGCAGCCAGCAGTACCGTGCCCTAACAGTGCCTGAGCTCACACAGCAGATGTTTGATGCCAAGAACATGATGGCTGCCTGTGACCCGCGCCACGGCCGCTACCTGACGGTCGCCACTGTCTTCCGGGGCCTCATGTCCATGAAGGAGGTGGATGAGCAGATGCTGGCCATCCAGAACAAGAACAGCAGCTACTTCGTGGAGTGGATCCCCAACAACGTCAAAGTGGCCGTGTGTGACATCCCTCCACGGGGCCTGAAGATGGCTTCCACCTTCATTGGCAACAGCACCGCCATCCAGGAGCTGTTCAAGTGCATCTCCGAGCAGTTCTCGGCTATGTTCCGCTGCAAGGCCGTCCTGCACTGGTTCACTGGTGAGGGCATGGACGAGATGGAGTTCACCGAGGCTGAGAGTAACATGAATGACCTGGTGTCTGAGTATCAGCAGTATCAGGACGCCACGGTCAACGACGAGGAAGAGGCTTTTGAAGATGAGGATGAAGAAGAGATCAACGAATAGGGAGCCGTAAGATGCTAGAGTGTACACTTGCTCTCTTCTTAGCCCTGATGGTGTGGGCCTGCTGCCCTGGTATGCACATGTTACAGGCCCCTCTCAAACACTGCATTGTTCCCAGGTTATCCGGAACAAGCACTTTCCTCCGCTAGAGAGTTGGCAGTCCCACCAGACCAGGGTGGTTTTATACAGAAACACTGAAAGCAAATTAAGGGGCTGTACAGGGCTAAAGATAGCAACCACCTTCTGTTAAGTGCCCAGCCATCAGAGTTAACAGGGGAGTTAGAATAAGGATTTGTTTTTCATTCTTGGTGATAAACCTAAAGCCACACAGTTTTGCCTTAATTGAATACGCAAAATGGAACTTGGTGACAATCCATTCATAATAAAATGCTAAACGTGGAAGAAAAAAAAGACTAGTATTCGACGGAGGAGAGCACTAGAAGGGGGAGCCAGGGAGATGGTTCCGTTGGTAAACTGCTTGCCACGAAGTATGAAGACCTGTATTCAGCTCCCAGCACTCACACAAAAAGCTGGGCATGGCAACGTGTACCTTGAATCCCAGCACTGATGAGGTAGAGACAGACAGTCCAGACAGTCAGCTGAGTCAGCGAGTTCCAAGCTCAGGGAAAGACCCTGTTTCAAAAAGCAAGGAGGAGAAATGACTGGGGAAGAACCTGAGGGTAACTTCTGTGCGCATGCACACATAAGGGCACATGACTACTGTGCACGTGCACACATAAGGGCACATGACTGCTGTGCGCGTGCACACATAAGGGCACATGACTGCTGTGCACGTGCACACATAAGGGCACATGACTGCTGTGCGCGTGCACACATAAGGGCACATGACTGCTGTGCACGTGTACACATAAGGGCACAAACAAACACACCATGACCAGGAATATAGATCTGTGAAAGAGGGATACAGTGGTGTTTGGGACATGGTTCTCTAGAGGGACAGAACCTGCAGAATGGGCTTATGCTATAAAGGGGGATTTATTAAACTGACATACATAGGGGCAGGGCTATCAGCAATGACTGGGTGCTGGAGAATCCAGGTCTGGATTCTCCTGAGGAGTTGCTGGTGTTTGAGTTCATATTGGAAAATCTGAGAAGGTGAAGTCTGATGGCAACCCAGATAGCAACAGGTACTGATGCAGTCACCCAGGAAGAAGTGAAGACAGGCAGGCTCACACAGGGCTTTTATAGATGGGTCACCCACTGAGGACAGCCTCCCTACTTCAGCTAATCCCCTTTGGGGACATCCTCACAGATACATCCAGAGGTGTGCCTCCTAGGTGATTCTGACTCCTACCAAGTTGACATTCAAGACCAACCTTCTCAAGTGGTACACACCAGGGGTCCCAGCCACTCCAGATGCTGAGGCTGAACAGGAGTTCCAGTCAGCCTAAATAGCATAGTGCAAACCTGTCAAGAAAAGTATAACAGCCTTTTTTAAAAAGTGTTTTTGAGATTTTTTTTATTTTATGTATATGAGAGTTTGCCTGAGTGTGTGCATTATGCATCACTATGAAGCCAGAAGAAGGTGTTGGATCCCCTGGAACTGGAGTTCCAGATGGTTTTAACCCACCTTGTGGGTGCTGGGAACTGAACCAGGTCCTCTGCAAGAGCAATAAATACTCTTAACTACTAAGTCATCTCTCCAGTCCCCTGAAACAGTAAACATTAATTGTATTAAGCCTTGACCTTCAATGTGCATCGTTCTGAAATGTAGCTTATTCAGGCAAAGAATTTGTGTCATGGTTTGGGTTGACAAATGAACATCACTTTCTTCATAGGATGCTTTATACTCAAAATAACGACTGACTGTTTGAAAGAATAGCCGTGAGTATTTAGAATTAAAGATTTGAATGGCAACGTTCTAAAACGAGTCTATCCTTCCTATAATAACAGCATTTGTTCCCAACACACACAACTACCCCCTGGACCTGGGGAGGCCCCTGGATGGGGAAGCAGGCCATGGTAGAAACAACCCTACATTCTCATCCCCAATCCTAGGAGCCAACACCAAAGACTGCCCTCTCATAAAGACCTGGAGACCTCCCATCAAGTATATTTCTTGCTACAAGGTTTCCCTTGGCCCAGGGTGGTCTCCAGCTGGCTAGGTGACAGAGGATAACCTTGAACTTCTGATCTCTGGAGTTCTAGAACCGCGTGTCTGTGCCACCACTCCCAGTCTATACAGTACTGGGACTCAAACCCAGAGCTCTGTGCACGGCAGCCAGACACTCCACGGACTGGTTCACACCACCATCCCCCGGAATTCTCTGTGACAGTAGACAGCTCGCCCTGCAAGCCCTCCCCGGGTATTTTTATCTGCCCCTTAGCCCTTCTGTAGCTTTGAACTTCTGCATCTGTTTGGGGCAGGATGGAGGGGGAAATAGTTGCTCCCAGACACCCAAATACAGAAGAGGAGAAAAGCAAAGTCCAGCTGCCCCTGCTGTCCAGAGCCCTGGCTGTTCAGATGGCCCCCTTACACATCAGATTGCAGCCCCTCTTGCAGGGGGTGCTCTGAGCCCTTCATTTCGTGCACAGCCGTGTCCCCATGTAGCTCCTTCCACCTGGAATCCACCACCTGCTTTTAGCTCAGGTCTCACTGAACTTGAGTGTCACCTTCTCAAGGAGCCCCCACTAGTGGCCCAATGGAAACGAGATCACACAGGGCCTTGTTCTCCCTCCACAACATAGCATCATTTGAATTGTATACTTACATATGCTGGCCTGGTTATGATTTGGCTCTGTCGGTGGACCATAGCCACCAGGGGGCAGGAACCTTGTCCGTGCCACTCAGTTCTGTATGCCCCAAAGTGAGCTCAAGGTGTTGATTTATTGAATCAAAGACTGATACTATTATCCTTTCTAGACCTGATTTTTTGTTTTTTGTTTGTTTGTTCTTTCTTTTCTATTTTCTTTTTTAGGAATCTCATGGTACCAATAGGAAAACTTTGTTTTTCATTGATTTTAATGTTGTTATATTTATGTATTTAATTTTATATGTATGGGTGTTTGGCCTGCATGTGCAGGTGCTGGGACTCAAGCCCAGGTCCTCTGGAAGAACAGCCAGTTCTGTTAACCCCTGAGCCATTGCTTCAGGCCCTAGATCTGTTTTTCTAATGTCAGCATTTAAAGTCATAAAAAATCCCTCTAAACTTGCTTCAGCTGCATTCCAGAAACTTCGTTACATTGTATTTGCATTATCCCTTCTGTAGAAGCATTTTCTAACTTGCCTCTTGAATTCCCTAGGGACCTGCAGGTCCTTTAGGAGTAGGTGGTTCAGATTTTGTATCATTGGTTGCTGGCTTGTGAGATCAAATGGCCTTATGCTGTACGTGCTCCACAGGTTTTATGGCTGACCCTGTGGTCTATCTTGTGGGATCACAGCATACCCATCTAGAAAGCATTCAAATTCTAAAGATAGGACCAGGCAGTGGTGGCACACACCTTTAATCCCAGCACTTGGAAGGCAGAGACGGGGCGGATCTCTGTGAGTTCAAGGTCATCCTGGTCTACAAGAACTAGTTCCAGGCTCTAAAACTACAGCAAAACCTGTGTCGAAAACCAAAAAAAAAAAAAAAAAAAAAAAAAAAAAAATTGGAGAAGGTGTGATGTTCCAATTAATTAGGACAAAGTAGTTGACAGCATTGCTCAGATTCTTTAAATCTTGATTTTTTTTTCTAGTTTCCCTTTTGGTTCCTGAAAGGGGAGATTGATGTCTCCTGGTGTTTGAAGCTTTAGGAGGTACACACTTATGTTTACTGTTTTAATGGTGCTTTGATCATCTCCTCATTATGAAAGCTCTTGCCTTTGTCTCTGATAGTGTTTTTTGTCTTGAAGTCGGTCTTCTCTGTCGGCGCCTCTCACAGGGGAGGCGAAGTGGCCTCCTTTAAACTTTCCTATGCTCCACGGTGCTCTCCTGCTCTCTCATCTCAGCACAAAGCTGAACTGACCACAAAAGCAGCAAGAACCAAAGAGATTATTTCCCCTAGTGCAGACAAGAGAGGGGCACTCAAAAGGCTGGTCCATCCCCCACTTCTGTCTCTGCTCCGGTGATCTGTCCCCAAAGGGCCAAGCTGCGCAGCCTGCGCGCTCTCCGGGCTTTGTTCTGAAAGCAGTTCCACCCATTTCCGACATTTTATGCTTCTGATTCTACCAAACTCAGGACTTTCAATAATGCGTGGGAAGGAGAGTGGTTTCATGGCTGATAAAGCAGGCTGGAAGAGACTTTTTGACGAGCGCTTACCTGTGAACACAACCAATGAGGCTTTGGCGAGCTTCCCCATCTAGCAGAGGTTCAGGGGAGAAGCTCATAGCAGTCTGAGGAAATCAGGCATCAGCTGAGCTGTGGTTTTTTTTTTTTTTCTTCTGATCAAGCCCTTTTGAACATCTTTCTATTCGTGCTGGGGAAATAGCTGGCAATATAGATTTTTATAAACTGCAGCGTAGACAATACACAGGGATTCCCCTGAATGTTGATGTTAAAAGTTAGAGAGCGGTTGCTTCTAAATTGCCGTGGTTTAATTGCTGGAGGAGCTTCTTACAAGCTTTAGATCGCTGTCAGTTTTTTGGAAATCTCCAAACCCCATACTGGATGTTTATGATCCAGACAAGTGTATTAATACATACCACCAAATCCAGCACTCAGAAGGGAGAGGCAGGAGGATCAGAAGTTCAAGGCTAGCTTCAGCTACATAGCAAGCCCGGGGGGCAACCTGAACTATATGGCACCCTGTCTCAAACAACAATAAATACTTGGACCTTAGACCTCATAACCTACTATTGTTGGCATCTCCATGAATGCTGCTTGAGCAGTTACATGGATGGAATCAGAGAGTCACAAAAGGCCTGAAACAGTAGCAGCTCTCCCCGATTCCCTCGAGGAATTTTCTTCAAAGGGCTCCAGGCCACCTCTACGTGTGTGACACTAAAATTCACGCCACACTGGAACATGTGTGTTTAGTCGTTTAACGGCATTAGACTTTGGT